AACGGGCGCAAGAATTCTTTTCCTTCTACACAATCTTCCTCTTTCCATCTTATGTTACAAAAAAAGTTATCTGGATTTCTTGAAGAGAAATTCCTTTTTAACCCATTGAGGGAAGGGCCAAGCATGGAGGTCTTCCTGAAGTCAAATGGTGCAACCAGCAACAGAAGCACGCTCGTGTACCAGCATCTCCTGGCTCAGAATTCAACAATTCCTCCAAATCACATTACAGCAAGAGCTGCAGCAGGGCCCCATCCTGGCCTCCCTTCATTTCAGTAGCAGTTCCATTTGGAAGGTCAGAACTTGAAAAATTCAATGTGCAATAAAACTTTAAAAGGCAAGAAGGAGACAAAAAATGGGAACAATCTCTCAAGTGAACTTCTTCCCATTATCTGATATATTGATAAGAAGCAAGTCACGTTACTCAAAGGCAACTCCACAGCTTGTTGTCTCAATTTTTGACAGGTTTGTGTAATGTTACACAGAAGTTAGAGAACAGCTAACAGCCTTCTGCTCTTGAGGTCTTCTGCTCACTAACCAGCCTGTGCTTCTTCTAAAAATAATAGTAAAATGAAGGTTTGAAAGCATAATTTCTATGAGTATCCAAATAAAAATAATGCATCTAATATAAGGGATACTTAAGTGAGGAGCAGGGAAGTCAGAGCCACGTGGTGTTAGTCTCAAGGCAGCACACCAGTACCTTTTACACAAGCAACTCACTACAACCAAGCAAACTACACACAAAGCTCAAAGCCAAGTACAATCAAGTGCAAAGCTAAACGGAAGAAGGGGAATCAAAAAACAAATGGATTCACTTGGGAAAAAAGACAGTAGATGAAATAAATATTTCAGTGAACAGTCTCTGAATGGCCATACAAAACCAATAAATCCTTACGATGAAACTCTGTCACTGTCACTTCACACCTTTCAGTTCTCTGCATTTCCATTCTCTCAATAAAAGATTTATGAAAGCTTTAACAAAGGAGTAATAAAGAGTGACTGGGGAAGAGAAGATTGCCACAGGAACATTTTTAAGTTAGTATCACCGTATTTTTCACTAAAATACACAGGAATTTATTTTTCCAAGACAAATACCAGATGCGGTTCTGAACAAAAGATTGGCATTAAAAAAACCAAACAATTGTTTCGTAAAAGCTATCGCAACCCCTCACCCTTCCTAAGCCATAACTGACACTTCAGTATCAAAGCCAGATTTGCATTTCAAAAACCAATTAAAAAAGCATACTGTAGTAAGGTACTGATTAAAAAGATCTCGTGGCTTTACATATATTAGCCACTTGCTTTGACTTGCCCTGCTTCAAACCCATCGTAGTCACAGCCACCCCCATAAATGAGATGGGTTATACAACTGCCACCCTGCTAAATCACACTGCAGTTCGAAAGAGCAACAAAATAAAACCAAAAGAAAACAAGAACTTGTAAAAATAAATCCAGAGTTTCACAAATCCAGTTCAGAGCACGATACTGGCTCTGTTTGCACAGCAAGAGGATGAGAAACAACAAAGGAAAGAAACACAGGCAATGACAATCTCAACCTGCAGTTGCTGGAAAGAACCAACTAGAGGAACACAGACTTCATTGGGAAAAGGGCAAACATATCCTGAAACTGCTGATCGTTGAAGAAAACGAACAAGTTTCCTGCTGTGTGCAGGTTTAACAACCAGAGGTTTCCTACCAGAAGTATGGTAGAACGGTAAATAATGTCCTTTCCATTTGCAATAGCATAAAATTTCAGATTACAGACAAACCATATTGATCAGAGTATTTTTGTCATGCTGTAATCCTTAGGAAGTGATCAACTTGTTTAGAAATCCCAGCGCTGCCACACAAAAGTGTTGATGGTGCAAAAGCCTGCAGAGCAAAGGCTTCTCATCTGCTCACACGTATGGAAAAGGTTCCTTAAAAACACATTGTCAAACGCCCTGCAAACTTGCCAATCCATGCCACCATCAATTTCCCCACGCCGTGACAAGTTTATAGCATTGTGTCACAAACATAAATCGAAGAGAGAAGCCAAGAAAGCAGCCCTCTAACAAAAAGCATTCAGTCACTGTCTAATCACTCCACGCAGGGATTCAGTGCGTGTGTTTGGTTGGGTTTCTTCATGCAGCGGTTGACTAAGCGCCTCTGTCACCTTGCAGCACCTTGCATCATCAATTCCTGTCGTCATATTGGCAAGAGCGTTGCTTTCCAATGTTCAGTGGTTTTAGGCTCATCAAATTATAATGAGAGTCCTTTTAATCATTCAAAAAGTTATGAAAATTTATCAGCCTGTTTGCAGCAGATGCACTACAGGTAGATTGCTCAGTACTGTCTCTCAGATGTAAGAGAAAATGCAATTATTTAAGACTAAAAGCTCAAAACACCATTTATGTGATGCAATATCACCTGGTTTTACTGATTCTTCTGTGCCCTGGCCTCTCTCACTCATCAGAATTTGTCATTTCCAGGCAATGAAGTTATTTAATGATTAAGTAGTAGCTAAAACGTGCATAATATTCTCTGTTGAAGAAATTAAGTGCATCACAGCACAACACCAGCACGTACTATCGAAATTCAACACAACACCACTCAATTAAGGAGAAAATGAGCTGCCTCCCACTGTTACCTGAGAGCAAGGAGAGACCTCACCACGCTAACCATCCCCACAGCTAATGCATCTCAAAAGCTTCTAATTACAGCAAAGGTGGGAAATTACAGCAAAGATGGGGGAAAATGTTTAAAGCACACCTGACAAAACTGCAGAATTCCAATGAGCTCATTGAAAGCAACACCGTCCAGGTAAAGCTAAGCATTCCACCCCTCACTACAGACCTTCAGCAGCCCCTTACCCTAAAAGGACCTAAGTTGGCCCAGCTCTTGGCACTGATCAGGTTTCCAGCTGAGTGGAAGGGCACAAAGCAGCATAGAAGGAGCATCAACAGCAACGTGGCTGGTACAGAACAAAAAAACACTTTCTTGTCCCAGGAAGTTGATCGCTCTGCTTGTACCCGTGTTCAGGTCAATGTCAGGGAAGACAAAACTATTCACAGAATAAACACCTGTATTGACTTGGACTAGACAACTGTTTATGCCTTTCCAGTATAGACTTTTTTAAAAACAAAACTCAGAAGGGTTTATTTTTAATTAGTACAAGGCTTTTGAAGATTTCACCCTTTCAGAAACCACCACTCACAGTAGCATTTTCTACAATGACACGGGAACCACGAACTGGAAGTTTCTATGTCCTTTGGACTACCCTCCTTTTTAATGACAGTAAGCCAACCCAATGATCATGTGGGCCAGAAGCACGACACTGAGCTTCCTCCTATGGAAAGCAACAGAACTGAACACAAAAACAGCAGTGTAAGAAGGTGGTAATTGCCTGAGACAAGTGTTAGAACTGCTTTTATTGTCCTCATTGCAGGGAACTCAGATATGTATTTCTCATTCAGAGAGACTCTGAAAGTCACTCCTTTAAAGTATAAAAAAAAGCACAGTTTTTTATTTGCAACATTCCCCATGTTTCACAAGGCTGCAAGCTAGCTTAATAGAAACAACATCTGAATATAAATGACAATGAGCAGCAGCTCTGGGAGATGCTGCAGCACTAGTCAGGAAGAATTCATTACCTGGAGACATTTATTAAGCAAAGGAAAAAAACTGTTTGAAAGGCTGGCAAACACCATTAGAGAAACAAAAGAATATTGCTTCATGGGCTTTGCTTCCTCATTACATTGCCTTAGCTTATCTTTCCTGTTAGTTTTTGAACTCTTACTCTTACAGGTGATTCTAAGCCTCCTCCAGTTATCATTTACAAAACATTGCTACAATCTGACCCTCCTGAGCCCTGATACAAGCAACAAGAAGCAAGTGCCCTTCTGGAAGCACACCACTTTCCCAGTCAAATTCTTAACACCTACCTGCAAAAGACCAACTGCTTGTCAAATCTATTCACACCTGGTACTCAAGAAACAGAAAAATACAGTCCCCCAGCATCCATGCCTTCTCCTTCAGTCCTCCAGTTCTCTCGGGCTTCCACACCCAGCTTTTAGAAGTTTTCCTAATGTTTTATGGTGCAGAGGGCAGATAAATCTCAGTATGAAAGCCCCCAGAGGAACTAATCTTTAAGGGTATTTATACATTTAGAAAGTAGAAGCCCACTCTTTCAAAAACAAACAGCACAAACCTCATTCTAAGGTGTGGCAAATCTCTATCGTGATTACACATTCCTGACACTACTCTTACTCCATTCACTTTAATTTTTCTCATCTTCAGTATTTCCTCAGAAAGCAACTTTTACTAATTACATTTAGTTTAAAAAATAAAAAGGGGGAGACATACAGTCCTAATTTCAGTGATAAAAGATGATCACAGGATCACAGAATGGCCTGGGTTGGAAGGGACCTCAAGGACCATGAATCTCCAACCCCCTGCCACATGCAGGGCCACCAACCTCCACATTTCATAGCAGCCCAGGCTGCCCAGGGCCCCATCCAACCCAGCCTTGCACACCTCCAAGGACAGGGCATCCACAGCCTCTCTGGGCAGCTGTTCCAGCACCTCACCACTCTCATAGTAAAGAACTTCCCCCTGATGTCTGACCTAAATCTCCCCTCCCTCAACTTAAAACCATTTCCCCTCGTCCTACACATATCAGCCCTTCCAAAGAGTTGATTCCCCTCCTGTTTGTAGGCTCCCTTTAGGTACTGAAGGCTGCACTGAGGTCACCCCGCAGCCTTCTTTCCTCCAGGCTGAACAAGCCCAGCTCCCTCAGCCTGTTCTCATAGGGGAGCTGCTCCAGTCCCCTGATCATCCTAGTGGTCCTCCTCTGGACCGTCTCCAACAGCTCCCTGTCTTTTCTGTACTGCGGGCTCCACACTCGGATGCCCAAGTTATGATACTAACTTCTTTCCTTGGAACATGCTTTCTCCTTATTGCAATACTATACATTTACATGATCATGCCCTTTGCTGTACTATAAGAAAAAACCAAATCCTTACCTGCTACCGTGAGCTTTGCTGTTCTGCTTACAATGGTCCCCAGGCTTTCCACAGTTGCCACACACTGATAATATCCTTCATCGGGTTTATTATGCTTGGAATGCACCACACTGTTTATTAATAAAGACCCATCTGGCAGCAACTGGCGACGGTCATCTGAGACCAAGTTTAGAAGAGTCCCGTCTTTCTTCCATTCGATCTTCGGAGGAGTTTCACAATAAGCTGAACAGTTCATTATAACAGAGGCCCCACGAACTGACAGAATGTCCATCGGCTCCACCAGGAAGTAAAAAGGAGTGAAGGTTCTCACAACAGACCCTGTGAAAGACATGCAAAACAGTTTCAGGAGTTAGCCTTCCACTTTTTTTTTTTTTTTTTAAAACATGAAGTGCATTTTCTTTTAAAAGTGCTTTAAAGGAGCAGGAGCCATCACTGCTCACAGTGTGGTCTCCTCAGGAACAGGCTGGTCTGCATGACGTTATTGTCTGCCTTGATTACTCACACCCATGAACTCTTGGAAATGAAGTGAAACTTTTTGTGCCGAAGCCATACTGGTTCGCTCACACTGGAATCCACGCTTCGCAGTCCCAAGCAACCCATTACACAGAAACCTGCTCCATCAAAACACACAAACCTAATGCACATGCCTGAATAACATAATATACAAACAGCATCTAGTTTTACGACTTCTTTCTTGCCTTCCATGGCAGGGATGCCAGGAACAGCAGTGCGGTCATTTCCCTTGTGTAACAAACATTAGGAAACAAGAAGAGTAATTCAGCCCTTGAGAGAAAAAGTCTCCAATTCTGAGCTTAACACATCACGCAAATGCCATAAAACATTTTTTTTTACTTCTATTCTGGCTCAGGATAAACTTGATTACTTTTCCATTTTAAGTATTCCCAAACAGACATCTATAATTAACATCTACTTTCCATTAAAAAGTGAATTTTAATTACTGTATTTGTAGCATGTTTGGTCCAGCAGAAAGCCTACATGTCACTATCACTTGGACTTGTCCTAATTTAATCACTCACAGAAAACAGAAAGTTTCTTCCAAGGAAGAACAGTTTCACGAATCACCAAAGGTTGATTTGGGAGAAAACGTGGTCATTTCACTGTGCTTTAAATGTACTGATAATAATCTAAAGCCAAACTAACATCAAGGCTCCTCTCTTGTACTCCAGCACTCCTCCTCCACCTGGGGTTGGGGCACACACCTACAAGGGGTAACACGAACAGCACTGTTACTACCTGTCCTCCAGCAAACCAGAGATGAGCTAACAAAAACCTGCCTGCTTTACAGTTATTTACTGGCCATCTACAGGACGCTGGGCAGTTTAAAGACCACAAAGGCAGGGCTATCCTTTACCTTCTTCCTTGTTTCTTTCTTTTAAAAACAGCCCAAGTCACCGTTAAGCTATTTGTTAGCACGTGCTCCAAAGCAAACATGGGGAAATACATTTGCCCTTTCAAATCCGTGTATGGTTCTCATATGAGAAAATAAGAGTCTTGAATTTGTGCTGGGGGCACAGCTTCTCAATTCTACACCAATTTCAAGCTGCACATTCAGGCTCTATAGTAAACAAGTGACCAAAAACCTGTCCTCTGCTGTAGCACATAGGTAGCTACAGCGTGGTTTGCACCAGGTGTTTGTATACAGAGGCTTCCCGTGAACCAGGTTGCTTGGCCTGGCAGTACACAGTACCTCAAGGATGTGGCTTTCCTTTTAGACAAATCCAAGAATTTAAAGGTGATCTGTAAGGCATTGTTAAAAAAACACTTCAAATGCAATCACAGGCACAAACTGAAGCACGGAAAACCTTTACTTGCAAAGAAAGGCTGTCCTGTAAGCATCTTAGCTTCCTCAGTCCCTTGGGTTTTTGGTTTTAAGAGATTTACCTTCTCAAATGGCCCTAATTAACAAATTGACAAGGTTCCCTCTATCACTGAGCCGCACAGAATGCCTCCTTGCCTCCAAAGAGACTCAGCTGCCCTCGGGAGAGGGGCTCAGCTCCTGCACTGACAGATTGCCTTCTTCCTCATGAGCCACGGAGATGTGGGACGAGGCAGGAGGAGCCGCGCAAAAGGAACGGCAGATAGATTACACTTCTGTAGGGTCTGTCATCCCCGTGTTCTTCTACCTTCAAGAATTCAAAGATGAATCCAGAACAGAAAAGACTGAGGTTTCCCTAGTGACAGCTGCAGTCTCAGAAAAGATTAGATCTGTTATGTCAGTATCCAAATCCTTGAGATTTGGTCCTTCCTGAGGATAAAAAGCAAAGACAGAACAAAAGCCAGAGCAAATTACAAAATTCCTGCATGCTTCATTTGAACACACGCACACCTGTGAGCACCGACTTTGTGTGAGGAGTCCTCAGTTCCAGCGCTCAAATGACAAGAAAAACAATAGTCATGAGCAGCACAAAAACAGCTTTAGACCAGCACAATCTCAACCATCAATCCACAAACTTAAAGCTGTTGTTTTAATTTAAAAATTCAGCCTTACGGTCCCTGGGTCTCCCACCAGGAAGCCTTCTGCCCAAGCCAAGCCGTCAACCCTCTTCGTCCCTTACAAACTTGGTTGTTTTTTTTCCAAGGGACACTCAGATCTCTACCAGAACAAACACAATGCACTCAGTTTTGCTTTTCCAAGCTTTGAGTTTTCAAATAAAACCTAAGAACACAAGAGGAAAAAAGAAAATAAAAGAAAAATCACCAGGAAGTAGCAAAAGCCAGCTTGAGCCGAAGTTCACTTGGGAAGAGCTTGCTGAGTATCTGTACAACCACTTTTCCCCAGCCTGTTTACTAGCACAGATCTAGCATTTTTCATTTACAATTTTCCTGTGGTTGAGATTCTTGACTTTTCTCACCTTCTGTAAGAGTCAGTTCTGCACAAATGCCCAGCAATTGCAATTCTAACCTTATTTCTTCATTCTGCAGGTCGGCACAAGTGCAGCAAGCAGGCTGAAACTCAACTCTGCTTCTACTTCCAGATTTTTTAATCAAGATGAAAAAAAGAGGTCTTGCACCTCATTGCCAGTTCATATGCTTGAGAGGCAGCTGACAGAGTAAGCTATACTTGCTAGCTGCATGCATGTTATCCTATGCCACTTCCCCTTGAAAACATGAGGCTGGCTTCCAGTTTGCCTTCTCCAGGCCTCACTGCAGGCTGGAGCAGATCAAGTCCACCGATGGGCTCCAGTTATCCTGGAGGTGCCCACAGAAATAACACTGCAGAGTCTAGAGCAGAGAGAACGTGCCAAAACAGCACAGAAGGGATGAGAGACTTTCAAGAAAGCAGATGCTCAGCCAGGTTTCAGAGGTAACATTAAAAAGGTTTGCCAAAAAGAAGCCTGTGAAGACTGCACTGTCTGCTTTAACTCTGCGCAGAAAGCAGTGGATGAAAAAGCAGTAGGGTTGGTAAATACATATGCCCATGGTAAAGGAGAGGAAATTAGACAGCGTGGAGAATTTTCCAGCCCACGCTCTAAGAGAAGTTCTGCAGTGTGGAGTTTGGGCACTCCAAGAAGCGCTGGTAGAGCTGCATCTACATTCCAGCCAAGCAAGTTCACACCTCATTTAACCCTTGGTTCAGCACAGGGATGCTCTGTACATACAAGAGCTTAATAAGCATGCCTTTCTGTCAACCAGCCACTTCTCCCACCCCATCAGCCTACCAATCACTCAGTTAAATGGTGCCAAGTTATTAAGGACTGGACTGGCAGGTCCTGTGGAGAGTGGCCTTCCTTCAAGTAAGCAGCTTGATTTGTGTTAACGTTGGCCCAAGAAACCTAAACAAAAATAACTGTGGTCTTTTCCTTAGGCTTTGCATATCTAGCTCCTTCAGTCACCTCAAAGACTGCATCACAGGGCTCTGACAATTCTCCAAATATGCTACAGCTGGCCAGTGCTTCTCTCCTAAGGCCTGTGCCCAAAACACAGCTGAGTGCTTCAGCAGAGACAAGCTCAGTGGTAAGCAAAGACCTGATGCCATTTCACATCTTTTGGAAGCTCTACAAGGTCTTTCATCATCCCTCCCAAGATACACACAGCAGGGTTTACAGCAGAAGCACGGCACCGCTGACTGCATGGGTCTGTGATCCCACCACTCCCCAAATCCCTCAATCCTTTTCTAGGAAACTGCCATGGAGCTGGTTCTTTGCCATTTAATGTTTGACTAGCTGATTATTCCTGCCTAACTGTATTAACTTGCTTTTGGCTCCTCCAGATTTTCCTCATTCCAAAAAAAGTGTACTGCTCTTGAACCTTGTCCTCCTCCTCTCAGCTTTATGTGGTGTGAAAATTTAACAAATATAGCTTACTCTGTCACGCGGGCTGTGAATGAAAGACATCTAATAGAAATTACTCAGAACACACAAGAACAAAATCCCCCACAAAACAGCTTTCATCACCATCAGTTCTCCTGGGACTTATCCAGCCCTTTTCACGGCCATCCTATGGCAGTGAAGTTCAGCTCTCCCTTCCCCCTTCTTTAGGAAAGTATTCTTAAATGGTTGGTGGTAGAGGAAAGAATAACATCATCTTTCTTCCATGAAACTTTTTAAATGCTAACTAGAAGGTCTGAAATATTTCCAGCTAAGCTGACTGCTTTTTTATGCCCTGGCTCATTCTCTTTCCCCATTCAATGGCTTTACATTGGAGGAAGGTAGATTTAGAGTAGATATTAGGAAGAAATTCTTTGCTGTGAGGGCAGTGAGACACTGGCACAGGTTGCCCAGAGGGGCTGTGGATGCTCCTCGCTGGAAGCATTCAGTGCCGGGCTGGATGGGGCTTTGAGCAGCCTGGGCTAGAGAGGTGTCCCTGCCTGCAGCAGGGGGTGGAACGAGGTGATCTTTAAGGTCTGTTCCAACCCAAAGCATTGTATGATTCTGTGACCTGAAATATTTGGGATTTTCACAGTCCTGCTCACCTCTTCACAAATACCCAGAGTTAAACAGCAATTCAGAAACTGCCTAGCCAGTTCTCTCAGGGTTAGGACTGCTCTTCTCACTGAAAAAGGCCCAAAGAAAGCACATTTGAGACATCGCACTGACTTAACAAGATTAAGATCAATCTGCCCAATCCCTCCTCACAGTGCACTTCCCTCAAGACCATGAGAAGGCTTTTAAACCCAAAAAGGGAAGTTTTAATGTACCACCTCCCTGCTTCAGGATCTGAAAGCAGCTAGGTAAGACATGCAGAGCTCAGTCACTCTTTCCAAACGCTGCATTTTCAAAGGCTGGTGCAAAAAAGAAATCCCAAACTTCCTTCAGCCTTTTCTTCTTCTCCTGCTAACACACCTACAGAGGGATCAT